TCTTGTGACTGTATCTATACACATACATACATGCATACATACAGGGGGTGCCAAAAACTGTATGCACATTTTAAGAAAGGAAAAATATTATTAAAATTGTAGTACTCAATATATACCGATAACAAAGATGAATACAAGTCACATTTGACTTCTGCAATTACAATCTTTTGAGCAAACGTCATACCACACATTGGTACTGTAATTCAATTCAACTTCGAAAAGTAGTACATAGGTAACATCTCTCAAAATGTGTATACATTCTTTTGGCACCCTGGTATATATATTTTTAATCATAGTTGACATTCAGTATTATTCTATATCAGCTTCAGTTGTACAGCGCAGTGGTCAGGCATCTACATAGTCTATGAAGTAATTCCTCCCAATAAGTCCGGTACCCATCTGGCACTCTATATAATCTTTACAACATTATTGATTATATTCCCCATACTCTGTTACATATCCCCATGAATATTTGTGACTGACAACTTGTACTTTCTAATCCCTTCACCTTCTCCCCCATCCCCTAATCCCCCTTCCATTTGCTACTATCAGTTTTTCCCCTGTATCTCTGAGTCTGTTTCTGTTTAAAGACACACAATTTTCAATATCTTTGTATTGTCCAGGGAAAAGATAAAAGTACTAGTTAATATTAAACTGAGATCAGTCAGTAATTCAAGCTGTAATCTCTGGGATGACCACTAACAGAATTGTTAATGAATGTGTAACTTCCAAATGAATGAGAGGAAAACAGAAAATTAATATATTAGTATTCAATTCAAGAGAAAACAAGAAAGGAGAGTAACAGCAGGCAGACAGAAAATAGAACAAATAGGTTAAAAAAGGTCCTGCTTTAGAGACACATTAAAGAATAAGGATAAAGAAAGGTTGAAAGTAAAAAGAAAAAGCAAACACGAATGGAAGTAAAGTTGGTATAATTAAGTTAATACGTGACAAAGCGGACTTTAAGGCATAAAGTACTCTGAGGAGAGGTTCAATTTTCCAGGAAGATGTAACAGTCCTTAATTTGTATGAACTTACTATCATGATCTCAAAATACAGAAAGCAGAGAGACACTTAGAAGGAACCAAATAACTCACAATCATAGTGGGAGATTTTAACAACCTCTGTCAGCAATTTAAAGAATAACAATACACCCATATGGATATGAAAGATTTGAACAACATAATCAGCAAACTCGACCTCATGGATATGAAGGTACATAAATATGTGTGTGTGAAGGCATACACATACTAGCACACAAACACATATGACACTACCCTACAGTATAGAATATACATTCTTGTCAAGCACATATGGAACAGTTACTAAATTTACATATGATCATAAAGCAAGTTTCAACAAACTTCAAAGGTTTGAACTATTTTAGAGTATTTTCTTTCATTACAGTGCAATTAAGCTAGAAATCAAGGACCAAAAGATAAATTTTTAAAGTTGTCATATGTGGCAAATTAAGCAATATTCTCTAAATAGCGAAAGAAGAAATTAGAGTAGAAATCATAAAATATTTTGGACCAAATTATTAAAACACAGACTATCAAAACTTGTAGGAATCTATTTAGATGGGAATTTATTGCTTTAGATAACACATACTAAGTTTCTGCTTCTGGTAATGATGGAGTACATTCTAACTCCCTTGCTCTTTCCCCTGTACCAAAATAATTGTGTCTGAGGGAAAGTCTCACACATTCATTTATCTGCTAAATGTTTATTGAACATCTATGTATGCCAGTCATATTAGGTGCTAGGTGTATAGCAGGGTTTCGCAACTTGACAGTATTGACATGTTGGAACAGATAATTCTTTGTTGTTGGACTTTCAGGTGCATTGTTTAGCACATGATGTTTAGCAGTGTCCATGGTCTGTACCCACTAGATATGATACACTTGCCCATATGATAAACAAAATGTGCCTCAGTTTTCTCAGTTGTAAAATGGGGCTAATAATGGTATCTGTTTTATAGGGTTGATGAATTAGATAAGGTAATAAATGTGAAATACTTAGAACAGTACCTGGCATATACTAGGCACTTGATAAAGTTTAACTATTATTTTGATCATTAAATAAATCACCAATGTGTATGTATTTCTAAGTAATAACTTTTCTGAGGAAGAAGAATAGGACCTCTCCTCCCTGTACTCTAGCAACTATCTTTATTTTTAAAGATTTTATTGGGGAATCAGCGAAGGGGAACAGACAAGTTGCTGTCCTTTTTGTTCTTCAGTCTAGTTGTGGAGGACACCACTTCACTGGCCCATGATCAGTATTATGATCACTGCGCTCTTCCTGGCTGAGGCAGTTGGTCACCGGCTCCAGGTCGAGTTGTTGTTCACCATCTTAGCTGTAGAGGGCGTAGTGTCACTGGCCCATGTGGGAACCGAACGGCCGCCCTGCTGCTCAGAGCTTGAGCTCCCAAGCCAACTCTTAACCATTGAGCCACTCAGCCGGCCCCAGTAGTAACTATCTTTAAAAGTACATTATATAAAGTTACCCAGTAAGAGACTGCAATAGGTAACAACTGTGGTCACTTTTGAACTCTTAAATTTTGTGATTGCATGATTGTATAATATTTTCATACCGAAAGAAGAGAATGATCAGTTTATTTTATTGTGCTCTGGTACTTGTATTTATGAATAAATGTTTTAATATTGCTTATTAAAATTTAGAACTATAATAGATAAAAATTATTACAAAATATTTTCAAATTTTAAATTATTAAAGTGAATACTTTTAATTTGTTTCAAATTTTAAACTGTGGAAAGCTGATATATTAGTTTTTTCCCTCTAAACTGCACTCCATAGTGAACTCGTGAAAATGATAGAGCAATTGAAAACTTCATTGTGATTAAATGTTTAATGAACCCTTGGGATATTATGAAACACAAATTGAAAAACTACTAATTGGCAAAGTAGATGTAGACTAATGGTTACTCCTAAAGTCAATTAAGGAGGGATATATATTATTAGTTAAAAGTAATCTGTGATTGTATTTTGCAATGCTTAAGTTTCCATTTTAAAGTGTGCAAAGTGTTTTGGCTCCCTATGCTGTTTATGAAATAGAAATAAATTGCTATTTGAAACTTTATTTTAAAATAGTTTTACTGTTTTTTCATAAGAAAATCAGATTTAAATATATGCTTACCATTTTGTATTCCCATCATTAATGTAGAAGAATGCCCCTTTTTCTACAGCCAAACAGTATGTAGTCAAACTTTTGAATTTTTCTAATAGGTGAGAAATGGTATCTCAGTGTAATTTAAATTTGTATTTCTCTAATTACAAGTTAGATTGAACATATTTTTATATGCTTAAGATCCATTTTTACATCCTTCTGTGACACCTGAGTTTTCATCTTTTTCCCCCCTCAGTTTTCAAGAGTTCTTTAAATATTTTGGGTATAAAAATTTGATATATATCCCCATATACTGAGGGTGCCAAAAACAATGTATACACATTTTAAGAACAGAAAAAAATGTTTTAAAATTGTAATATTCAATATATACCAGTCACAAAAGATGAATACAAGTCATGTGTATACACTTTTTTGGGGGCACCTCTGGTATATATATATCTTCCCCTAGTGTTCTCATGGATGAACTATAATTCTTTGTCTACTTCTCTTTATGGAAAACTAATGACAATTTATAAGAATCATGGTAGTTCTGGGTACAGTTCAGGCTGTTGCTTCACTCATCATTCATTCAAGCTGAATGCTTGTCATGTGTCAGGCCTTTTGTTGGCACCAAGGAGGCACTGTGGAGCACAGCAAGCTGGATGTTTTGTAGGTTGCAGTTTTGTGGAAGAGATTAACGAAAGAAACTTAAATCGTGCCACCTGCTCTGAAGGAGACATAAAGATGCTATGTGGTTAATAGCAGAGACTTGAGTTAGCCTGGGTGATCAGGAAGACTTTAGGATAGGCTTTTTAAGCATTTCAGAGCTAACTGTTTGGGGATTCAGACTTTATTATTAATATTATCTCTATTGTCATTGCTTCATTAGAACCATTCACCTAAACTAAGCTAATCAGGTACATATAAACAAACTCTAGTATGGTCAAAATGTGAATCAAGATTGGATACAGGGAGACCAATGAAATACATATTTTTTTATTATTTGAGTTTAGGTAGAACTATTTGTTTTTATAAACTATTGTTTTAATCTTGTAAAAAGTTGAGAATGAATATAGCATTTTGCTGTTTACTATCTTATTTAGTTTTGAGTTTTTAAGTTAGTTTCGTAGAGATTGACTTTAATCATTTTAAATTGTTCAGATAGTGGTACTTTATCAATTAGTGCAGTTGTTACATGAAGTATAGATGAGAAATTCAACACTAATGCAAAATTTAAATGGAAACAGATACCATAATCTTGATGATAATGACATGTTCAAGTAAAATGTCTTGATAAGTGAAAAATAGTTGATACTTTATTTGAAATCAAATGCACGAAAGTGTGTTCATATATGAAAGCATACTTAATTCATGGTTTATAAATAGGAATTTAATAATTTAAAATAATTGCATAGAGAAGACTTCATCTTTAATTCTAGTTGTACAAGTAGAGACATTTTCTCCTGTGAGGACCAATATTACATTTTTTTTAAACTTGGTTTGGTTAATAATAATAAATATATATGTATCTTCAAATATAACTTACTATAATCGGGTTAGATGTGTTGAAAGAAATGATCCATAATTTAGTGTTTTTATAACTTCCTTTCTGCTGATAGTTATATTTTGAATTGACTTCCAATTACTAGTGTTTCATAGTGGTCAATTTCTATAGCAAGCAGGGAGGAAGTTTATTTCCTTTTTTTGAGAGTTGGTTGTATTTTATTTAGAGCAAGAAATCCCTGGTAACAAGCTGTATTACTAGTGAATCTATTAGATACCAGTCCACTGAACTCTGTTTAGCAATCCTTGATATTACCCTGAAAGGAAAATGAATTTAATAGGGGTTTTGCCTAATTTTGTTTTTTAGACACTGGCCAAAAGAAGAGCCTAGACAAGAAAGATGGGAGACGAATGTCTTTTCAGAAACCTAAAGGGACTATTGAGTATACCGTAAGTTATTTGCTTTTGAAAAAGCTGATTTATCTTTGCAGTAGTCTTATGTAAGACATTCTTTATTGATAATATAAATGAGACAAGGGTGGTTAATTGCCTTGTATTAGAAGTCTGTACTTCACTTTGAAAGCTGTTGTATTAAGAATAATACTTAAGTTTTTAATTGTATTTTAGAGTTTTTATTCCTTAAAGAGAAATTTATGCTAAAAAGATAGTTATTCCAAAAAATTCAATTTAATATTGATGTTAATTTATTAGGAGTCAAAGTTCCTGTGCTATAATAATTTTTATTAGGCTTGGCTTTTAAGAAACTATTTACTTTTTTAGAAAAGATCTTCATTTTATTCCCAGCAGTGCTAATGATAATGAAAATAACAGATAGAGTATTTAAAAGATAAGTTGATATTAATCTTCCAAAATAACCTCTCACAATTAGATTATTTATACTGATTTATAGCTAAATTTCTTTAGCTCTGAAAATGGAGCTTCTTCCTGTCTTCTTTTTTTTTCCCCCCCTCAGGAAATTTTATTGAATAAATGTCTGTATTAGACTGTACTGTTGCTGTAAAATATTCCCACACTAGCTGATTAAACAAACAAATATTTGCTTTTACAATTCTGGATGTCAGAAGCCCGAAATGGCTCTCTGGGCTAATATCAAAATGTCCACGGGGCTGGATTCATTCTAGAGGCTCAGGTGGAATTCTGTTTCCCTTCCTATTTCAGTTTGTATTCTGCCCCCCTGCCTTCCTAGGCTCATGGCCATTCCTCCATCTTCAAAGCAAGCGGTTTAGCTTCTTCATCTTTTGTATCACTTTTACATCTAGAGGACCATCGTGGTTACCTGAATGCCACCTGGATGATCCTGGCTCATCTTCTTTTCTTTTTTTTTTAATTTTTTTATTGTTAGTTTCAGGTATACAGAATAATGCAGTAGTTATCCGTTTTCACCCTTCGCACAGAAACAACCCCCTACCCCCATCTACCTGTCTTCTTAAAGTGAACCTCACACCTCCTGGAAGTCAGCTTTTCACATGTGCTGCTTATTTGATTGAATGTATATATTATTTATTTAGATAATGTTAACCTGTTATAAAGCAGTTATTTTAACTGGGCATAACTTTGTGTTATTTTGTTTTTCTAATATATAATTATATTAAGAAAATAACTTTTTTTTTTTTTTTTTTTTTTTTTTTGGAGGGGAACAGTGTTGGGGAATTGGGGAGGGGGACCAGCCAAGTTGTTTTTTTTTTTTTTTTTTTAGCTGAGCCATCCTGCCACCTGTTGGCAGCTCAGCTCGGGCCGGGCATCTAACTGCTGTTGCTCAGAGCTCACACTCTTGAGCAAGCTCTTAACCAACTAAGCCACTCTGCCGGCCCTAAGAAAATAACAATTTTAAATAATTTATGCATTTGTCATCATGACATCATCCAGTCTTAGTTTGAATCTTGATTATTTTCCATGAATCTTTAAAATTGAACAAATTATCAAAACCTTGAGTTACATTTTATTTATTTATTTTTTTGTTTTGTTTTTGTTTTTGTTTTTCTTATTTCTCAACTAGCTTGGGCTGTGGGTGTGTAAGGGGGTGTAAACTTTCCTGTTTGGCATGTTTTGGAGACAGTTATGTGCCTGTCAGTGCCTTGTCTATATTGCCTCCAGTCCATTGATGTTCACCATTTCTCTCCCTCTTCTGAGAATAACCATCATGAGCAAAGCTGTGTTGTCTTCTGCTCATTCTTCCTGCTTTCCTCTCATTTATTATTATTATTATTATTATTATTATTACTTTTGTTTTCTCTTAAAAGAATAAGGAAATAAAGTGCAGGAATAACTGCTGAGATGAAAAGAGGTAGTTAGGTACGTGGGAGACCAGAATGTCTTTTCTTTTCCTGGAGGCAGATATGAACAGAGGTAGAGCCATGACCCACTGAGTGTGGACTCATTGCTATTTAGTCTTAGCAGATTATGGGGATATTGAAGTCATACTCCTCTCAAGTCTTCAGATTGAGCTTTTAATCCCCATTTTCACAGAGGAGAAAATAAAAATTTAAATGTTTAGAAAAACATCTAAAAACAGGATTTTTAGATGTGTGATTTTGTGTGTACCAGTATCGTGGTCTCATGTAGCCGAAAAATGGAGACATAGACTAGAGAGGTAAAGTTGCAGAAAAGGAGCTTATTAGAAGAAAAAAATACATTTCAAAGAAACAGAAGCAGGCCTGAAAAGTAGTAGAGAATGGTTCAAGGGCCATTATTAGAAAAGAAAGTACACTCCAAAGAGTTTGGAGCAGGCCGAGCAAAGGCAAGGCTCAAAATGCTCAAAAAAGGCCTCATTTTATTTTTATATACTGTATAATTGACAATTTGAGATTTTAAGTATTTTTAAAAGGTTAGGAATCATATAATTTACAGCAGAATTATATTTACTATCCAAAGAATCTCTTCTTAAAGCATATTATAAACTTAAATTGAGTGTGCTTGTGCTTTCTCTGTGTGATTAAGAAATTGAGAAAATAAGTTCAAATGGTAAAAAGTATTGGGTAATGTAATTTGATATATTCATTAGTGTTTATTAAGGCACAAGATTATAGGCATGTAGCATAAGAAGTGATCTATACATGTAAACGTGGTTGTGCAAAATTATAAAAGTTTTGAATTCAGGAGTTTACCATTATTTTTTTGTAATTCTAGAATATGAAACCTGTTATCTGTAGCAAAATTAAATTCAAATTAAGAGCCATTATTTTGGGGGAAAGGTTAATGGAAGTTTGAAATTATTATTTTATTTATTTTTTAATTGGGGGATTCGGGGATGGGAACAGCGCTGGGGAAATAGGGAAGGGGAACAGACAAGTTGCTGTCCTTTTGTTCATCAGTCTAGTTGTGGAGGATGTTGCTTCACTGGCCCAAGTTGGCACCATCATTGCGCTCTTCCCAGGTGAGGCAGATCAGTCGCCAGCTTCTGAACG